ATAAAAATGGTTAGTGCACTTGTCTATAATCTAAAATGTTGGTGGTTTGAATCTACCCAGAAGTAACTTGGAAGAAAGTCCTCGTGAAGTATTTCCAAAACACCACAGAAATTAAAAAAATCCACAGAGCACACAAGGGATTTTCATGAATCATAATCAACTTAGTGGCAACTGTGATTTCATTTTGGTTTTTTTCTATTAGGCAGAAATTAGAGACACTAGGGGTATGAAAAATGCACTGAAAGGGGGAAAAAAACACACCCCAACCCAACAAAACCCCAAATGACAAATGCACCACCATTTTCCTCTGCCTTGTTTTACATGCAATCCATGAATCACTTCCTAAGTTACATTTCAACTAAGAAATACAGTCTGAAGAATATTTTGTCTTACGATATGTTTTAATTCTCTGGGGATCTTTCACTAACCTTCAGACAAATTAATGGTATGCTCCCCAAGTACTCAAAGCATTCTGTTCATTCCTTAATTATCTGACTTACTGCCACTGCTCACAATGGTGCTATTCATTATTACACCACTGGACCCGTGTTTTAGATGCAGTAGGCCCTCAGCATAGGTATACTGAATAAAGAGAAAGAGTTGAAAGAAAATGGAAAACTGATTTTGATCTTTTGAGAAAGAGAGAGAGCTTGAATGATTTTAATACACCAAGAGACAATTTAAAAACAAATTCAGTAGGAAGCAAGGGTCTCCATGTCTTCATATTTTATTCCTAAAGAGAGATTCAAATTACAGTTTAGATAACTCCTCTCTATTTCAAGCCAGGGTGCTGCACAAAGCACTTGGCATTGCTTTTCTTTTGGTTGGTGGGGGAAGTGGCTAAGGATTCCAGGGGGTCAGTTCAAATGGGGAAAGTGGTTTCTTTTGACCCATTTTCCTGACCACTTGAGGATTTATTATATGCACCAAACCAAAGGCATTTCTGTTCATGAGAGAAGGAGAGATTTGGTTACTGCAAATAAGACAAAACGAAAGTCTTGATAGTATTCCAAGTAATGTAATGATGGAAATGTAAAAACGATCTGAATCCAGTTATGAACTAGAATGAAGCAAACACTGTACAGACAGACTTCAGGGATATTACAGGTCTGGTTTCAGGCCACTACTATCCAGTGACTGTCACAATAAAGTGAGTCACATGGATTTTTTTGTACTATAGTTTATTAAGAGTACTTAGTTAGAGACTTCACCTTGCAGTCCCTCATGGGGGTGGTGGGCAAAGCCAAATTGATCTGCTAGTTTGTGTTGGGGAAGCGCCTTTGCATGTTACTGCCCTAAGAGCTTAGATACATATATGCTTGCTGGTCCATTGTCTGCTCTGTTGGGTTACAATGTTTGTCTATCTCACTAAAGTGGGGCTCCCAGCTTAAGACAGAGTAGGAGGAAGGATTGGTCATCCACTTGTAAAACAACAGGCCTTCGAAAAAACCCTATGGACATTAGAGTGCACTTAGACTATTAGACATAGCACTGGAGACTGAGCCCTTATTTTGGGAAACACAGAAATAAGGAAGAATAGTTACAAACAGCCACTAATAATCAGAGCATGAACATTTAATGCAGGAATACAGGACACTGTTTATAAAAAATTGGGATGCATAAATAGTAACATATTAGGCATTGGCAATCCAAGGGCTAGCTACATCGTGCTTGGAAAGAGAGAGGTCAGTGCAGGAGAGGAAGAGCCTGGGTAAGAGGCATTGACAGAGAGACTGTGGCAATGGGGTCAGGTGTCCCAGAGATGGTGAGGTTGGTTCAGGGAAGGGCAGAGCTCAGAGCAGCTGTTCATAGGGTCACTATGAGTCGTAATTGACTCGAAAGAATCCAACAACAACAACAACAAGAACTGTATGAAACAGTGTGAACTTGAGAATTACCGAAATGTAACACAGAGATGTGAAACCAACAAGTGTTGCTGGACACTGGCTTAATCCAGGGTTGCCACAAACCTTCCATTTGTGGAAAAGTGCAGTTATCTGCACAGCACAGGAAAACAAGGTTTGCCGCCTGTATTATGTATCACCATCGAGCTGGCTCTGACTCTTAGTGATCCCTCACGGGGCTTCTGAGGCTGGGAATCATAAGGAAATAAGGCTGCCCATGAGGCTCCTTCAGAGCCACAGGGGGATTTGAACCGCTGAAGGTATGCAGACTTTGGGCTAGCAGTGCAATTTGCTATGGACCACACCATATGCTGTCTGAACTCTCTATATAAAAAAACATTTATATATGAATTTCCTTTATGAATGAGCAGGAACAATTCTTTAAAAATACAAGGAAATCAAATGCATCAATACAGTAATATATTAAAAGTCAGAAGGGTTTCTTCCAGTGATGTAGGTACAATTAAAATAAAAATGCCTTTCAGTGTAACAGACTATCTTATGAGTAGGAAGAGAAAAAAAGTTAAAAATGATACCCTTAATAAATTTTACTAGTCATTCACATACCAAAACCGTGTTAGCTAAGTAACTGTTGATAAGTGTTAGACTCTGACTCATATGAAGTAGAGGGTCCGCATAACAGGAGAAGACCCTCAACAAGATAGACTGACACAGTGTCTGTAATAATGGGCTCAAGTGTATTGGAGATGATGAGGTTGGCACAGGATAGGGCAGGGTTCAGATCCACTGTTCATGTTGTTGTTATGTGCCATCGAGTCGTTTGCGACTCATAGCGACCCTATGTACAAGAGCCCTAAACACCGTTCTATTCTGTGCCAACCTCGCTGTCTCAAACACATTCATTCCCACCACTCCACTCACAGAATCGATCCATCTCATCGAGGGTCTTCCTCTCCTGCGCCGTCCCTCCACTCTCCCATGGATGTCCCTCTTCAAAGACCAGTCCCCTCCTTGCAACATGCCCAAAGTATGCCAGATGAAACTTCAGAATCCTTGACTCCAAGGAACATTCTGGCTTCACCCTCTCCAGAGGGTCACAATAAATCATAGTTGGCACACAACAACAACAATATGATGATCCTATGTTCAACAGTAGGACAACTATTGCTTTCCTTGTGCTGAATAGAAAATAGCGTATTTAACAAGGAACTCATAAAATATTATACAAAATGCGTGACCCCAGAGGACATTATGCTGAGTGAAATATCTCTGTCACAAAAGGACAAATACTGCATAATGCCAGTGTTATAAAACAGGACTGACATGGAGGTTGGGGGGGAACTAATAAAAGAGGGAATAAATAATGAACACAGCATGAAATAGATGAGAGAAAGAACTGTCTAAAAGAAATTTGAAAAAATAGCTTATTTAAATCTCATTGGAAAAATCTCAAGGGTTGTTATTGTTGTTATGTGCCATTGAGTTTTCTGTGACTCTTAGTGATCCTATGTGCAATAGCTCTGACTGCCATCCTATCCTGAGATAGTCTCACTGACTCTGACACACCTAGCCCCATTACTCCAGTTACGGAGTCAATCCATTTCATCTGGAGTCGTCCTCCCCTGCGCTGCCCCTCCACCCTTCCGGGCAGGATGTCCTTCTCCAAGGACTGGTCCCTCCTGGCCACGTGCCCAAGTATGTGACACGGAGCTTCACAATTGTACACTTGGTCGGCTGAGGGATAAGTGATGCCATGTTTTACACATGAGGAAACATTTAAGGAATTGAGGAAACATTCCTTAAAATAAAGACATTTTGAAAATCTCAGTAAAAGTAGATTCAGTGGCATTGATATTTTTGATATCTTACACTCTTCAAATTAAAGGATGAGTCCATTCAATTCAGCAAATATGTTTCCCGGACACAGGTCAGGCCTGTGCTAGGTGTTAGGGTGCCAAAGTTGATAAAAGCAGCATGGGCCCAGGCCTCAAAGAGCTTTCTGATCTTGAGTTCATTGAGCAAGAAGGGATATGACAGCTTTCATCATGGTCAAGTCACAAAACCCCAGAGCATTCTAAAATTTCAGAATGGGTTGTTAGGTGTCCTCCACATAGAGGCCCTAAGAAGAGATCTGAATCTGACCCTGTCCTGTGCCGTCCTAAGGATGCGTACCATGCTCAAGCCTATTGCTGTAGTTGTCATGTCAATGCATCGTGTAGAGTCTTCCTCTCTTTCGGTGATCCTCTTCTATACTTATTAGACACCTTTCTTCTTATTAATAATTCCTACAATGGGCCAGAGAGCTCTGGTGGCTTAGCGATAAGAAATTGCGCTGCCAACTGAAGGTATGTGGCTTGAATCCACCAGCTGCTCTGTGAGAGAAAGATGAACACTCTTCTCCTGTGCGATTTACAGTCTCACAAAACCCGCTGGAGGATCAGCTATGAGTTGATTACGACTCGAGGATCCTCCACAACAAAAACAAACGTGAAGGGCCGGACAATTGTTTTAGCGTCAATACAGTAACAAACAGATTCGGGGCGTGTTCTGGGGAGGGATGGGAGGAAAAGAATAGTGAACATAATGTAAAAACAACTGCAAAGTGATAAAGCAGTTCAGTGTGTACACATGTGCTTGCGTCTGGGTGAACGTGCATGCTGGTTGCACACACTTGTGTGTACGTTTGTGGTATCTGTACGTGTATGTATGCACAGCCCCTCGCACATGCAGACTGCTGCATTAAATACGGCGCTCAGGTAAACGGCACTGAGAAAATAAGATCTGAGCAGAGACTTGAAGTGAGCAGGCCAGTCATCTCTCTCAGTTCGGTGACCCAGGGCCACATGCATAGCCTCGCTGCAATGCGAGCCCAATGTCACACACATCCTGTACTCTTAACCTGCTGTCTACCTTCTATCACAATGCACAGTAATGAATTATTTTCTTGCCTGCATCTCGTTCAGCTCCCTAGAACTTATTTGTCTTGTTAACTATTGTAATCTATCACAGCAAGACAGCCCATGGCATGATATGAACCTGGATCAGATATTGCAGGTGAACAGTTCTCTTTGGCTGAATGAAGCTGACGGGGACCCATAAAGCTCCCACAGGAGAAAGAGCTGAGTGCACACTCACCTATTGAAGTGGTAGATGTCCTCGATGTTTCCGAAAAGGGCTGCTCTTTCTTCAGTGCCCAGAGGCAGTTTGGTCTGCTCCCTGATGCAGTCAAGGTAATCCTGTGAAACCAATGAGAAGGGTGCCTTAGCCATGGTGTCCTGTCCCCGTTTTCATTAAGGACTCAAGAGGGGTCTTCTTTCCTAACAAGTTCAAGTAATTGCTATCTCAATGTGCTCTTTAACTGTACAAGAACACAGAGCCCTTTCTTAATTACTGACTATAATACTTACCTTTTTATAATTAGGGTGTTCTAACAAAGAATGTTATAACCTGCATTATGCAGACGACAAACCTTGCTTGCCAAAATGAAGGAGGACTTGAAGTATTTGTTGCAGAAGGTCAAAGATTGCAGCCTTCAATACACCTGGCATCTCAACATTAAGAAAGATCCTCACCCCTGGGCCAGTTGGCAGTATCATGATAGATGGAGAAAGGATTGAGGTTGTTAAAGAGTTAATCTCATTGGATCCACAATCAACACTCTTGGCACCAGAAGTCAGAGAATCAAAAGATGAGTTGCAGTGGGGAAAATCTGCTGTTGAGGATCCCTCCAGAGTGTCAATTCAGAGACCAAGGTGTGCCTGATCCAGGCCGTGGTCTACTCAGTTGTTTGCATCTGAGAACTGGAGAATGAAAAAAAGATGACAAAAGAAGAATGGATGCCTTCGAGTTGTGGTGCTAGAGAAAAGTACTGAACGTCTGATGGGCTGCCAAGAGAACAAACAGGTCTGTCCTAGAGAGGATGAAACCAGTTTGCTCCTTGGAGGCAAAGATTTTGAAACTCCATCTCATACACTCACATGTTTCCAGGAGAGACTAGTTCTTGGAGAAAGATATCATGCTTGGAATGGTGAAGGGATAACACAGGATAGAAAGACCCTGGGTGAGTTGGATTGACCCAGTGACTGTGGCAATGGGGGCCAGGTGTGTCTGAGACAATGAAGTTGGCTCAGGATAGGGCAGGGTTCAGCGTCATTGTTTACAGGGTCACTGTGAGTTGTAGTTGACTCAATGGCATATAACAACAACAAAGATTGTGGTATACATTAATGTCTCAAGGGGAAAAAACAACCAACCAAAACAACAAACCAACCCATTGCTGTTAAGCTAGAACTGACTTGTTGGCACTCCAGTGGGTTTTCAGACGCTATAAATTACATGGAAGGAGACTGCCCATTTGTCTGCCATAGAGCAGCAGGTGGATTTGAACTGTGTGCCTTTGGGTTGGCAGCACAACTCCTTACTACTAAGCCACCAGAGCTAGCTATTGCCAAAATGGGTCAAAGCATCTCTGTTGTTTTTGTTAGGTGTTGTCGGGTCTACTATAACGCATAACAACCTGTGAACAATAAATCTGAGCCTAGCTCTATTTTGCACCATCCTCACAATTTATGTCGTCCCTACAGAGATAATACAGTGGCCATGGTTACCAGCAGTGGCTGCAATTTGACATAACAGCATCGCCTCTCTCCTCGACTGATTTCTATGGCAATATATACTCCAGAAGGATCCAGGGTCATGATAGGCAAGGTCCAACAGCGATTAATTTTATAAAACGTAACACATGGAAATCTGGGGAGGATAATGGGACCTTCTAAAGATTAAATCCCTGTGTGCATCAAAAATATTTTCCAACACAGTGAAAAGAAAACTAACTGGGGGGAAAATTTGGCAATACCATTTTAGACAAGGGTCTCATATCAAAAGTTTACAGAATCCTATGGGCCTGAACAAGAGAAAGACTGATAACACAATTACAACAGGAGGAGAGAGGAGACTGGTCATCTTTCTGCCTCGGAGCCACTGGTGGATTTGAACCTCCAAACAGGCACAGCGTTCTGCTTAGCAGTGCACCATGCTAGATCAGGCCACCCGAGCCCCCGCCAAAGTTAACACAGTGGTGCTGAGAGAGGGTGTGGTGGTGAGGGGAATAGAATTCTAAAACGTGACAAGGTTCTTTCAAATGTAGACCCTTAAGCCAGAGAGTATTAGTTGCTTAAGTGTAGAACTAAATTCTGCTGCAATACAAGTTTTTTACAAAAGCTTTTAATCCTTTTAAAAAAGGAATTAAAAAAATAAACACTTATGTTCCTAACAGCCTATGGTAATGAGCCGTGGGGAATCTCAGTTGAGATGGTTTTCTGTGAACCCACAGACCTGATGCGGACTCAGATCCACAGTGGGTTAAATTCTTGCGGTTGAGAAGCTGTTTGAATTGCTGAGAAAGGGGAGATTTCTGGGCCCTGTGTACTGAGAGTTCATGGCTGAGTGTTCTCCTTCCCCAGCGATGCCTGAACAAGAACTCTGTAGGAGGCAGGAAAACATTAAAGAAAGAAAGCAAAAGCAGCTGAAATAACGTAAAACAAAAAATAAATACAGTCCCTGCGCCAGGGTGAACAATGCAGGATGGCTGCAGCCCAAGGCTAACACGTCGCTCCAGCATTTTAGAGGAGTCATCGGAGCTGGACCAGGAAAATCCCAGTGCAGAGCCGCATTCCAATGGCCATCAGCAAACGGGGGTCCTCAGGGCTCAGGAGAACGGGGCATTCTGCGGACTCCCAGAAGGATGGACAGATACCGTCTTGGAACAAACACAAGGAGGCTCCCTCTGGATGTTAGCAGGAAAGGCCAATTATTAGAGGGGATTATCATGTTTGGTGAAGCAGATCATCTGCAAAAATTAGGGCAACGTTCAAAAGACAGATTGACAATCGTCACAACAATCTGTATTTCTATATTCATCAATAGACGATGATAATGTCGCAATAACAGAAGCATATCCCAGTGAAGGATAGAAATGAAGTAATGGTACATTCTTTTTTTCTTTTAAATTTAAATTTATCATTAATTTCAGTAAAAATTTACAGAGGCTTTGGATTTCCATTCATTCATTGTTGCACATTTCTCCCCTCCCAAGCCTCCCCCCGGTACATTCTTAATAACATGTAAAACCTGTGATTCCTCAAAAAACAAACTCATTCACTGAGCAACTCAGTTACAGCTCAACTCATGTCACTGAGTCACTGCAGCTGGAACCGACTCGCAGCTGACCCTCCAGTGGATTTTTGGAGGCTGTAAATTGTACAGGAGGAGACAGCCCATCTTTCTCTTATAGAACTGCTGGTGGATTTGAACCTTGAGAGAGGTGTCACTTTCGGCTTTGGAGCACAATTCCCTGATCGTAGACCACACACCCCAGCTCCCTATCCCACCTTACGTACGCCTGGGTATGAAAGGAGAGAGCAACATGCATCCCGTTACAAGTGACATCTTGAGGAGTCGATGATTCGGTGATACCTAATGACACCCAAATGCAAAGGGAAATGGAAATTGAAGAACCATCACCTGATTCTTTCTTTCTCTTAATCATCTACATTTATTCGCTAAGGCTCTTTGTTGCTCAGTTAAAACAACAACAACAAACCACAACCCAAACCATGCAGTGATTGATCAATAACTTTTATCAAGTACCATTTCACATTCACATAGAATAATTTATCTAGTCTTCAACATTAAAATCACGATCGGGCATGCACTAATGCTTATAAACTTTTTAATTTTAATACGATTTCTAGCAATTGCTTCTTAAGACAGTGGTTGACTCAGTAAGAAACCAGATTCCCAAGATTTAAGTGTAGCCGATGTTAAAAACCCACGGTAGCAAGACTTATACTTCTTAACACTTATGAAGGAAATAATTATAAGGAGCTTAAGTACTTGCAGAGGATACGGAGTTAATACCTCAATAATTAAAGCAAGCTTTGTACTACTGAAGCAATTAGACATCCTGAGCAGCATGTAAAACTCAAACTTTCTTTTAAAAAAAAGTGTTCACTTTAAATTATTCTCTGATATAAGGGGATGGACTAGTTCTCAACTTGCTTCTGATTGCTTAGATTTGACATAGTTTTAACGGTTTTTTGAATCCCTCTATGGTAAGACTGGTTCATGAGTTTGGCCACTAACAAAAGCTGGGGGTTCCTGAGGTGCCTCAAAAAACAGACCTGACAGATACTCCCCCAAAACCAACCACTGAGAACTCCATTTGGCAAATTTCTACTCCAACATACACAGGATGACAGGGAGTTAGAATTGACTTGACAGTAACTTTAAAAAAAATCATCTAAATCACCTTATATTCATGCACAAGTTGTTATGTGCCATCAAGTCACCTGAAACTCATAGCAACCCTATGCACAACAGCCCTACACTCTGCTCTATCCTGTGCCAAACTTACTGTCTCTGACACACCTACCCCCATGACCGCAGTCACTGAATCAATCCATCTCATTGAGGGTCTTCCTCTCCTGCGCTGTTCCTCCACCCTCCTAAGTGTAATGTCCCTCTCCAAGGACTGGTCCCTCCTTATAACACGTTCAAAATATGTCAGATGAAGCTTCAGAATCCTTGCCTCCAAGGAGCAGCCTGGTTTCACCCTCCCTAGGACGAACCTGTTTGTTCTCCTAGCAGTTCATGGAATATTCACTACTCTTCTCCAGCACCACAGCTCAAAGGCATCAATTCTCCTCCTATCACCTCTAGTTATTATCCAGCTTTCCGATGCATAGCAAGTAGTAAAAAAGGAATGCTGTTGTTGTTGTTATGTGCCGTCAAGTTGCTTGCAACTCATAGCGACCCTATGTACAACAGCCCTAAACTCTGTTCTGTCCTGTGCCAATTGCGCTGTCTCTGACACTCCCATTCCAACTACCCCAGTCACTGAATCAATCCACCTCATAGAGGGCCTTCCCCTCCTGCGCTGTCCCTCCACCCTCCCAAGCATGATGTCCTTCTCCAAGGACCAGTCCCTCCTTACATGTCCAAAGTATGTTAGACGGAGCCTCAGAATCCTTCCCTCCAAGATGCCATCCTGTTTGACCTTTCAAAGGACTGTTTTCCTAGTAGTCCATGGTACTCTCAATACTCTTCTCCAGCACCACAGCTCAAAGGCATCAATTCTCCTTCTATCCTCCTTGGTCATTGTCCAACTCTCTGATGCATACAGAACAAATACTGATGAGTTACACCTATGGTGATGACAAAGCATAGTGAATATATC